TTGAGTGAGCGTAGAGCCCATCTGAACCACACCGCACACCAAGCTCCAGTGCCAGGTGCATCGCACAGCAACCAAAACCATGGCTGCTGCTCCAGGACACTTCGACGCATTTGATGCCACTGCTGAGGACTGGGACTCCTACATTTCTCACTTTGAGTTCTTCCTTGAGTCCTCCAAGGTCGACGAAGATGTGAAGAAGCGTGCCACATTCTTTCGGGTCTGCGGCCGTTCAACGTTTGAGATCGTTTGCTTGCTGCTAGCACCGGCGGAGCTTCGAAACACCCCATACCAGACGATTATAGACCGGCTGCAGGAGCACTTCACGCCGACACCCTCCGTTATTGTGACCCACCACGTGTTCTACACAAGGAACCAGGCAACGGGTGAGTCAATCACGGTGTACGTTACAGCCCCCCAGCATGCTGCCTGACATTGCAACATCCAAGACCTAGAGGAAGAGCTCTGTGACCGGCTGGTGTGCAGACTTTGGGACAAGTGGATCCAATAGCGGCTGATTGCCAAGCAGGACCCCACATTCAAGGATGTGCTTGAAGAATCCCTCTCCGATGAAGCCGCTGACCAGTTCACTACAGAGGTCCGCCAAGCTTTGAGCCTGCCAGCTTCATAGAGACCCAACACTGCAGCCCACCATGTGGACACCTCCAACGAGGAGGTCCTGAAAATACATCGCCCAGCCCACCATGGCACTAGAACACCCACCACATTTCGAAGGGAAATTCAGTCCATTGATATTTATTGATACTATTTTTAATTTATCCCTTTTGTCCTAATGTTATTGACACATCCAACTTGTCCTCTTCTGTGTGTGTTTCTTCATCAGAGTTTTTGGTCTGTGAACTTTGCTTTGAGCTGCTTGGAGATTCTCCTTCTGTTCTTCTATGTAAGTCCTCCACTTGCAATTTTTTGGCCAGTTGCTTGGTTTGTTCCTCTGTTGTGATTATTTTAATCCCTTTTGGTAAGTATACTTCTATTGCAAGTGGTAAAATAAATAAAATAAAATATTTTCTAATTACATTTTATTTATTTAGTTTGTAAAATCTGTCGCAAAAAATTGAAGTCTTTCCTTTTCCTTAACAGACTTGTTGGTAAATCCTGAAAGATCTACACTTATTTTCCCACTACCTTGAGTGGTGATTCCCTTTGGTTCTTTAGTATTGCAACTTGTGTTTTCCTGTAGGTGAATCGAACCAGTATATCTTGAAGTAGCTTATCCTTGAATGCAAATCTTGAATTCACTCTAAAAATCTGGTCAATGTCAGGAAAGTCTTCTTCAACCTTCAGATAATTCTGAAATAAATCACAAAAGCTTTCTTCCAGATTTGGCCTCCCAAAGGTCCCTGGGATTCCTCTGGAACATAAGTTATTAAATCTGCATTGAGTTTCCAGGATTTCAATTTTTTGTTCGGCATTCTCAATTTGAAAATCTTACCTTTCTAAATGTGTGTCATTATCTTTTTGTTTCTATTGGATTTTTATAATTTCTTGTGTTTGTTCTTGTAGTTTTAAATTAATTTCTGATGGTCCAACTGATATCTCTTCACACACTTCTTGAATGTTCTTCCGGGTTCTTTCCTTAGATTCTTGAATGTTTCTCTGGATACTCCGAATATTATTTAGGGTTCTTTTCTCTGAATCTTGAATGGTCTTCTGAGTTCTTTCTTCAAATTATTCCATTTGGTGCACCAGTGTTCACAATAATTCAAACCATTTCTTCAATTCTCTGGGCTTCATCTGTTTATCTATACTTTTTTCCCTCTTTGATGTGTTCCTGTTGCCTTTTTTCTTTTCACTCTTCTCTTTTTAAAAATATTGTACACACTTATCATATATTATTTCCATATACTGGTTTCTATCTAAATATCAAGTGTACAACAATCAAAGTTTATACTGTTAAAATAACTCAGCTAGAGTGTATATCTATTAAAATAAAGAGTGATATTATCAACAGTTCTTATAAAAAAGCTAAATGTAGCAAGTAATGAATATTCTAAATGAGTATTGTATAAATGAAAAAGGTAGCTTATCTTCTAATCATTAAGTCACAAACATCAATATATCACCAACAGAACATTTTTTAAAATTAGAATTTAGTAAATCAGGGCAGAGGCGGATCTACTGTGAAACTAATGAAGCTTAAACTTCAGGGCCCCCAATCCCAGGGGGCCCCTGAATCAACTTTTTTTTAATGAATGCATTTTTCAACAAAAATTAATGGAGTTTTTAAAGTGTTTGTTATTAAAATGAGGCTATTTTAGTGACAGAATCATAAAGCAGTGGGATGAAGAACTTAATACCCTTGTGCAGTTCCGCAGGGCCTGTAAGACGGAGCTCTTCCACCAGGCCTTTGAGTAGGAGCTGCCTCTGCCACTATTCCACCATTGTGGCATTGTCCTACTGTTGTTTCCATCATATAGGGCAACTATCGCCTGGCAGAATGCACGTAGAACAGCACTACTGGAGACTGCGCTAGAGACAGCTGGCCGCCGCACTGGGTTCACTGATCCCGTCTTGGGTGGTTTATATGTAGGAAGACTAGAGCACTTTAAATATTGTATGGTTTTATTGTATGTTTTAATGTGGTTTTGTTTTATTGTATTTTATCTATTTAATGCGGCTTTTGCTGTATGTTAGCCGCCCTGAGCCGTCGGGAGGGCGGGATATAAATCTAAAAATAAATAAATAAATAAATACTGACCTTAGAATGGAGCATGCTCAGTGTTGTAGCTTCTCCTAAAGTGGGCTGTTTGTTCCCAGCAGCCTAGCAGTTCAGCCTGGCCCAGGAAGAAGCAACAGCACCATAAGGGTGGGAAAAGGCCTGCACAGATCTTGTTGTTTCAAGACCTGCTTTGGATTATTGCAGGTAAATTATAATTATTTAGAACTGTTGCAATACATGTTTTTAGCATTCTATTTGTTAATGCTTCTGAGAAGTTTGGCCTGGCCCAGGAAGAAGCTGCACTATAAAGCCTGCACAGATCTTGTTGTTTCAAGGCCTGCTTTGGATTACTGCAAGTAAATGTTGGTAATCTGTGCAAATATTAGGTAAAGGCAGAGGTCATTTCAGGGGGGATCGCGGGGGAACACAGTTCCCCTGGGTGAGGTGCGGGGGCGGGGCACATGACGAAGCCCCGCCCCCGCCGGGCCCCTGATGTCAGGGGGTGTGGCATATGCTAATGAGTTATGCTAATGAGTTCCCCTAGCTCTTTTTCTACGAAACGACCCCTGGGTAAAGGTAAAGGTTCCCTTGCTCGAAAGCCAGTCGAATCCGACTCTAGGGTTGCGGTGCTCATCTCCATTTCAAAGCCAAAGAGCCAGCGCTGTCCGAAGATGTTTCCATGGTCATGTGACCGGCATGACTAAACACCAAGGCGCACAGAACACTGTTACCTTCCCACCAAAGTGGTACCTATTTATCTACTTGCAATTTCTTGCTTTCGAACTGGTAGGTTGGCAGGAGCTAGAACTAGAGATGGGAGCTCACTCCATCATTTGGCAACTCGGGTCTCGAACTGCTGAACTACTGACCTTCCACAGCCTGCAGTTCAGCGTCTTAACCACTTGAGCCACCGCAGTGATCTTTTAAAACAAAGGAGAAGTGGGATTCAGGATCCAAGTGAGAAGAACTGCAGCCTCCCAGATACAGCCTGGAAATCTTATCTGATGTTCCAATATTGTGAGGTTAACCTGGATTTACAATATACGTATTCAATATTTTAAGTGTAAGTTTCAATATATATTGAAGAGGCTGTGTTATCACAAGAGGGAACCATTGACAATGGCTGGTTCTGCATCTGGCATTCGCTCCACATCTTCTCAACACTGAGGAAAAGGTGCAGCTCAAAACCACATACCTGGGCCAAGCCATACTAACTGCAAAGTCACCCCTGATCGTCCATAAAATGGCCATAAATCTGTGCAGAAGGCACAATAAAACCCCTTGATAAATGATCAAAGAGAGTGAAATCAGCATGCAATGCAGAGGGAAATTTCTGTTCCAGCATGGGTTTGCTAAAACAACAGAGGGAAAAGCCAATGCAAAAGCACCCAATATTCCCAGATTCCCTTTTATCAGTGCAGTCCCGTACCCCTGGGCAATTTTTCCCCATGAGGTTCCTGCAGTTCCCAACATCAGCTTTTCAGATGTCTCAGGATGCTGCTCAGGAAGGAGGATACGACTCATTCTTTTAGGGGAAAAAATTTAATCTGATGTTTCTTTTGGAAAGCGTGTTTAGTGCAGTTGCGAGCAGATATACACCCTTCGAAGCCCTATTACTTCAATGAACTCAGAAAGGTGTAGCTCTGCTATTCATTGTCCTCTATGAGCATTTCTGGAGACTGCAACAAGTAGACGAAATAAATAAGATGGTGGTGGTGGAGGAGGAGGAGGAGGAAAGTGCCTTCAAGTCACAGCTGACTTAACAGTGACGCCATAGGGTTTTCAAGGCAAGAGACATTCATAGCCTTTCCCAGTTTCCAGTTTTTATGTAAATCAGGGGTCATTTCGTAGAAAAAGAGCTAGGGGGACTCATTAGCATAACTCATTAGCATATGCCACACCCCCTGACATCACCGGAAGTGTGTCCTCCCCACAGCCGGCAGCGACCTCCAGCAGGCACCAGCAGGGAGCTCCAGGCCCCGCCCTCCTGCACCTCACCCGGGGGGATGGCGTTCCCCCGCGTCCCCCCCCCCCAAATGACCCCTGATGTGAATAAATGTCTTTTAAAAACCCGGTATCACCTAATGTCAAAACAACTACATTGAAAATATCATATTTGAACCCTTTTGCTTGAATAGTAAGGGGAAAAGGACGTTCTTAGTATGCTTTTCTTGATTTCCAGTACATTAAATATTTCCTTTGAAGGGGTGAGAAATATGACCTCAGCCAAGAATTTAGGCCTGTGGGAAAAAAAACCTTCACTAGAGTTCAAAGCAATATAACCTACTGCTGCTGCTGCTTATATTACAGTTAGACTTCGTACTTCACCCATTTAATGGAGGTCGCTGTTGCTGTCTGCAAATCCAAGAGCCCTTCATGAATCACCTCACACGTCTCAGGTCGGCTGCAGCAAGGTTCCGCAGGTGTTCCGCAAGCATGGCTCTGTATAATTTCACTCACAAGATGTGTTATCTGTGAAATGAAATGAGACAAGAGGGTGTGTTGCTTTACATAGCGACGATCCTGACACAGCTGAACCACTGAAAACATAGCAGAATAACAGGTGAATCATGGTGCCTTCTACACCTTCCATAAGTTCCATGCAACGAAAATACATACCTCTTGACATAGTATGCTCTTTTTTTACCTGTCCACTGTAGAAGAGTTCTGTGTATCATAAGCATGTACCTATATCAATTTCCCCCGCAGTCACACACACTAAATAATCCACTTTCAATCCACTTTCAGTGCACTTTCCACCTGGATTTTGTGTGAACTTGCAAGATCCAGTCGGAAAGTAGATTGAAAGTGGAGTATTTAGTGCATGTGTGACCGCAGCCTAAATTGCCTGGAACTGGTTGGCCACTGTGTCAGATGGAATGCTGGACTAGGTGGACCACTGGTTCGATCCAGCAAGGCTCTTCTTATGTTCCGATCTTGATCTGGAATGTTACTTTTTCAGTGCAATCCTAAACAAATTTCTACCTTTCTAATCCCATTTAGTTCAATGGATTTAGAAGGGTGTAACTCTGTTCAGGATTTCATTGCAGATACTGGTATGTGTTTGTTTGTTTGTTTGTTTTGTTTTTTACTTGTTGCTTGGGAGCCATTTGATGATAATGGCCCCACCAATGGACCTCCTAATGGCACCTGGTATTTTTGGCCACAGTGTGACAGAGTGTTGGACTGGATGGGCCATTGGCCTGATCCAACATTGGCTTCTCTTATGTTCTTATGTTTTACTCCTGCTGAGTTAAGGTTAAGAACCAGTGGTACAGGACTAAGCCCCTTCTATCAACTTACTTTCTTTTTATCTTCCATTGATGCTGCTTCCAGTTCATAATCCTGGCGTCCGTGAAAGCCAATCCGGAACCGCTTCCCTTCATTGTAGGCACAAGATTTCACTTGGGAAAACGGGAACTGTTTTTTGATGATCCCTTTTTCGATGTTAAAAATGGTCTTTGTGTTCGCATCAATCTGGGGGGGGGGGATACACAGAGATTTTCCCAGTGAAATATTTGTCATGGCTGTCTCTTTCCCCCCTAGCAATGAGTCAAAGGCCTCTTCTTAAATTAACATGCGCAGCCACTTGGCAAAAAGACTGGCTGCAAAAAAAAATGTATCTTTTTATTGATGATTATAATCCAGACAAACATTCTCTTCATCACTTAGTCACCGTAACGTATTTATTTAAGTTAGTGACCGAATATAGATTGATTCTGTCTGCTGCTTCCTTATCCCTTCTTTTGATAAATATGCATCGATTTATCATTCTGAAGTGTTATTTCCTTTGAAATTTTCCAACGTCTTGCTCTGCCCAAGGCAAGAACCTCGCTTTGCACAGGATTAACTCAGATGGATACTGTTGTGTCCATTGCCATCTGATATCATAGTTCACAAGGCGATACGGGTCTAAGTAAGGAAGTGGTAGCAGCTAGTTAAGGGGAATCATTCAGCTTCTTCTGGCCCCTCCCACCCCCATTACTGGTAATATTTCAATAATCGTGAGTCCTGGCTTTTGTATAGAGCACTTCAAGAGCTCAAAGCATTTCATAAAAACATAAGCACCTGAATCTGCCTTCTATTGTCACTGGTCAGCAGCATCTTTGACTAGCGGCAGCTCTCCAGAGTCTGAGGTGGAGATCTTTCTCATCACCTACTACCTGTGTTGTTGTGGTTGTTTTAACTGGAGCTTGGATCTTCTGTATGCAAAGCAGATGTTCTCCCACAGAGCCATGGCTCCCTCATATAGAGTATACAATAACCAAAACCATTATTATTAACTCCCTATTACCAATAAGGGACTGAGACACAGAGAAGACCAACTTACCAAGTCCAAAAAGGCAGTATATTGCTAAAACAAGATGTCACGACAAATCTCTAGGGCATATCTATAATGCAGACTACTGGCTTAAGAGTGCCTTTTTAAGAGAAATTCTGAATATTTCAGTAGTGTGAGGATTAACCCTTCTTCCTGCTCCTCCTCCATGGTAGCCATTTTGTGGCTGTGTGCCTACTTCCCTTTCTCAACATTTCGAAAGTGCCTGTAGCTTCCAACATGTTCTGTGTGACACAAAGGCACTCCTGCCTTCCATCATTCTAGCCAATGAGATGCTTGTAACATCTGCCCTGACTGGGTTTCTCATTTTTTTGAGCAGAACATGTGAACAAATGGGCGACTCAAAAAATTCATCCTCTGAGAGCAGCAAGACTGCTGCAATGTGGCTGGTTTCAGAGACACAAGGGAAAGGGAAGTAAAGGTTCTGCATGCATATAAAGAAGGAAGATTTGGTGGGGAGAAGGTCCTCTCAGAATCACTATTATGGTGAGGCATGGTACTTGGACTGGCAGCTATGCTACAGAGAACATCCTCTGAACGTAACAGTTCATGAAAACAAGGGCTGCAATCACACGCACTAAATAATCCACTTTCAATCCACTTTCGAATTGGATTTTGCCATTTCACACAGTAAAAATCCAGTTGGAAAGTGCATTGAAAGAGAATTATTTAGTGTGTGTGACCACAGCGAAGGACAAGCATTTCATTAAAAAAAAATTATTTATAAAGGACAAGTATTTCAAACTATCGCACAATTGCACTCATATCACACGCTAGCAAGGTCATGCTCAAGATCCTACAAGCTAGGCTTCAACAGTACGTGGATAGAGAACTGCCAGAAGTACAAGCTGGGTTTCGAAGAGGTAGAGGAACTAGAGATCAAATTGCCAACATTCGCTGGATTATGGAGAAAGCAAGAGAGTACCAGAAAAACATCTACTTCTGCTTCATTGACTATGCTAAAGCCTTTGACTGTGTGGATCACAACAAACTATGGCAGGTCCTTAAAGAGATGGGAGTACCAGACCACCTCACATGTCTCTTGAGAAACCTGTATAAGGGCCAAGAAGCAACAGTTAGAACCGGATATGGAACAACTGATTGGTTCAGCATAGGAAAAGGAGTACAACAAGGATGTATATTGTCACCTTGCTTATTTAATATATATGCAGAGTACATCATGCGAAATGCTGGCCTGGATGAATCACAAGCGGGAATTAAGATTGCTGGGGAAAAGATCAACAACCTCAGATATGCAGACGATACCACTCTAATGGCAGAAAGTGAAGAGGACCTAAAGAGCCTCTTGCTCAGGGTAAAAGAGGAGAGCGCAAAAGTGGGCTTGAAGCTCAACATCAAAAAAACTAAGATCATGGCATCCGGCCCCATCACTCCTTGGCAAATAGAAGGGGAAGTCGTGGAAGTAGTGACAGACTTCACGTTCCTGGGATCCCAGATCACCGCAGACTGTGACTGCAGCCATGAAATTAAAAGACGCCTGCTCCTTGGGAGGAAAGCGATGGCGAACCTAAACAGCATGATAAAAAGTAGAGACATCACCCTGCCAACAAAAGTCCGCATGGTCAAAGCAATGGTATTCCCAGTAGTCATGTATGGCTGCGAGAGTTGGACTATAAGGAAGGCCGAGCGCCGAAGAATAGATTCTTTTGAACTATGGTGCTGGAGAAGACTCTTGAGAGTCCCTTGGACTGCAAGAAGAACAAATCAGTCAATCCTCAAAGAAATCAACCCTGACTGTTCCCTGGAAGGCCAGATAATGAAACTGAAGCTCAAATACTTTGGCCACCAAATGAGAAGGGAGCACTCACTGGAGAAGACCCTGATGCTGGGAAAGATTGAAGGTCAAAGAAGACGGGGACGGCAAAGGATGAGATGGTTAGACAGTGTCA